ATTTGGAAGATAGTTACCTGGCTGACAGACTGGAAGAGACCCATATTTACACCACTCCAAAGAAAGGTGATCCAACCAAATGTTGTAATTTTTGAACAGTATCATTAATATCATAACAAGTAAAATTCTTCTGAAGATAATTCAAAAATGGTTGCAGCAGTTAACCAACAGGGAACTGCTAAAAACTCAAGCTAGTTTCAGAAGAGGGTGTGGAACAAGGGATATCACTGCTGATGTCAGATGGATCTTGGCTGAAAGCAAAGAATGCCAGAAAGATGTTTATCTGTGTTTTATTGACTATGCAAAGACATTTGACTGTGTAGATCATAAAAAACTGTGGATAACATTGTGAAGAATGGGAATTCCAAAACACTCAATTGTCTCATGAGGAACATGTATATAGACCAAGAGGCAGTTGTTTCAACAGAACAAGGGGATACTAAATGGTTTATAATAGGAAAGGTGTATGTCAGGGTTATATCCTTTTACCATACTTATTCAATCTGTATGCTGAGCAAATAATCCAAGAAGCTGGACTATATGAAGAAGAATGCAGCATCAGGATTGGAGGAAGACTCATTAACAACCTATGACATGCAGATGACACAACTTTGTTTGCTGAAAGTGAACAGGACTTGAAGCATTTACTGATTAAGTTCAAGGACTATAGTCTTCCATATAGATTACCTTAACATAAAGAAAACAAAAATCCTTACAACTGGACCAAAAAGCAACATTACAACAGATGGAGAAAAGATTGAAGTTGTCCATTTTACTTGGATGCACAATCAACATCCATGGAAGCAGCAGTCAAGTAACTAGACAACATACTGCATTGGGCAAATCTGCTGCAAAAGACCTTTAAAGTGTCCTTAAAGTGTTAAAGAGCAAAGACATCACTTTGAAGACTAAGGTGCACTGAATCAAACCACAGTATTTTCAATAGCTGGACAATGAATAAAGAAGACCACAGAAGAATTGATGCATTTGAACTGAGGTATTAGCTGAAAGTACCATGAACTGCCAGAAAAAAATGAACAAATTTGTCTTGGAAGAAATACAGCTGAAATGTTCCTTAGAGTGAGAATGGCCAGACTTTCTCTCATGACTCTGGTCATGTTGTAAGTATAAGGACAAAGATTTTTGCATTATTAGGCCTGACTCCACATTGTTAGAATAAGATTCCATATCTTTAGTTAAAATGCCATTTCTTTAAAACCTGGCTGCAATTTTGTGTTATAATTAACTTGTTCTTTCTCTAAGATACAACTAACAGTTACTGCTGCATCCTGTGATCTAAGACAGAGTCATCCAAAGACTCCTCAGCTGGACTTTGGGACTGGTGACCGAGGCTTTCACAAACACCGATGGAGCCTCTTAAAGTTTACCTGACTGCCAGCAACTCAGAGCAAACATTCCTTTCTTAATTGCCCACTGCCCTATCTAACTTTGGGAAAATAGTTTACTAATCATGCATACATGCTGTGTCTCTTTTTCCTTTGCAAAGATTGCAAGCGCTGAGTAGAGTGGACATTTTTGGAGTCACTGAGACCCTATCTGTCTCTCATTGGTGCACCTCATAATTAAATTCTTCTTTTTCTTGAACTCTAGTGTGGATTATTGGCTGTGCTACTCCAGGGCCAGATCCAGGCATTTTCAGAAGGGACTGGTCCCTGGAGAAGGATATCATGCTTGGTAGAGGGTTAGTGAAAAAGGGAAAGACCCTCAAAAAGATGGATTGATACAGTGGCTATGACAATGGGCTCAAGCAAAGCAAATATCATGCGGATGGGGTAGGACTGGGCATTATTTCATTCTGTTGTACCCAGCATAGCTATGACTCAGAGCTGACTCAATGGCACCTAACAGCAGTAACAATATAAAGTAAGCAATAACACCACAGAGGTACACATTCCTTAGAACAACCAACCACACAGGATCAAAAGGACAGCATTTGTCCAGAGACAAAGCTCAGAAGGCAGGAAGTGATAGAAAGAAGGATGAATGGAAACAGTAAACACATGGAGGAATTGGGAAGAATGCTGTTACACTGTAGAGATTGTAATTGATGCCATGATCAAAATGTGTAGAATAGCTGAATGGGAAACCAATTTGCTCTGTAAACTTCCACCCAAATCACAATAAAAAGAAGAAAAAAGAAACCAGAAAGAGAAAGAATACCTTAATAACTACTGTGAGCTTTAGTTTCTAAATCTATATAATGGAAGTAATAATATTTTGAGCATTAAATGTAAGGCAACTAGCATATTACAGAAGTGCTCAAGAAAAGTTAGCTCCTTTCAAAGCAGTTTCTGTTTATAGAGTGGAAAATTTGGCAACAATTACTGGTGAGGGTTGCACAACACCATCAATATAATTGATATCACACTAAATTGTACACATGAAAAATGTCAAACTGGTAAATGTTGTGTTATGTATCTTGTGGTGTAAAGAACTCAGTTTGCTTTCTCTGATTTTTGAAAATAGCCCTTGGAATTCCTGAGCAATCAAGGAGCTTTGTCTTTTTTAAACAACTAGGCAATAGTTAAACATTCATAAATGAGTTAGAGTCCATAATTCATCACCTCTGGCAACAAGGCCTCAGGAACAGAGGGGTGCAGGATAAGGCCTGTGAACAAACCACTGCCCTTCCTCCTGAGGTTTGATGTTTTATAGCAGCGTTAAAGAAATACCTTTCTTGGTCAAAGACATACCTTCCTTGGTCAGTGCCAAGGTATCTGACACCTCTCCTAGGGTGGTTTGGTGGGAAAAATCTGCATTGTATGCTCTGGATGCTCTATGTAGCAAGTCATGTAGGCTTTGGGGTATAAAAACGGTTGGGGGAGGGATTCTGGACATCTCTTGGCTATGGTGTTTGGTGGAGAACGGTTTTGGACCTAACCAAGTCTGCCTGGCCAGGGGGAACCTGCATAAGGAAGGCCTCTGAGTCTCTCATCTGTGGTACAAAGAGGGGTACAAAGCAAGGTATGTGTAGAAGAGTGGTTTTCCCATCTTGACTGCCTTTTAGAGTAGTGGGTGGGATTGACTCAAAAGTGGATCCACATATGTTCTATCTGCTTCTTTTTCTAAGTAACAGAAGCTATTTTCCATGTGCTAATGATCTGGGAGCATCTAGTGTGTTTAGATTCTGCTCAGAAACATCATAGATTGGTGTTTGGTCCCCATTTTCTAATGGCCTCCTGGTTATTTAGGAATCTCGGATGACCTATGAGTATCTCGCATATATATTTATAACAACAAGAATAAGTTAGTGCCTTTCAGTGGCTATAAAAATCTCAAGAAGCTGGGTAGCAAGCAGATGGTTTGAGGGAAAGGAACAAGGCAAATTCCCAGATCACCATGGTGCTATGTCTCTCTTTTGCCTAGTGGCAAGTATGGGTGGTACAAGCAAGACCCCAGAAGCAAGGACTCTATGCTACTGCTGCTTTATAGATGCATTAAATCAGAAATTGCTGTTAATGATGAACCACATCTATACTGTATTAATTAATGAAGCTTATCTACTTCGGTAGAAATACTGACTCAGAAACCCAACGAGGGGTCACTATGAGTTGATATCGACTCAATAGCAGTGAGTTTAGTTTGGTTTTTACGCTGATGGCTGCAATTGATTTTGGGCTGTTTGCTTGTTTGTTTTAAACTCTTTATCTCTACCAACGCCCCCCTGAAAAAAAAAAATCTCAAACCAAACCCACTGCCATCGAGTTGATTCCAACTCACAGCAAGCCCTCTTGGGTTTCCAAGGCTATAAATCTTTATAGAAGTAGATTGCCTCATCTTCTTCCCACAGAACAACTGGTGGGTTTGAACCCCTGGCCTTCTGGCTGGCAGCCAAATGCCTTACCCACTATGCCACCAGAGCTCCTTTATCTCTAACAGGTACTTTGTACCACACATGAGGAACTCAGAGGCCCTCCTGATGCAGGTCCCCTTGGCTGAGTAGGCTTAGTTAGGTGAGAAAGTGTTTTTATTTTATTTTGAGTTAATTTTACATTCAACATTACGTGTACATTTAGTTTCATTCCCCATTTACCATGCCCAACCCTAACCCAGTCTCCTCCCCTCCCTGCCCAGTAACCCTCCCCCTAGGCCCCTCATAGTTTATGTACTCCTGTTTGTCCTGCATTTCCTCTGTGTGAATGTTGCCCCTCTGGTGCCCCATGGTCTATTGCTCTAAGGGATGTATTTCCATAGAGTATATGGTGTGTTGCCCTAGGTTGAATGATCTGCATGTACATCTTGTTAACTATTGGGCTGAGAGCCAGCCCCTGGGAGTGAGTTTTATTCCAGGCCCAGAATGTATTCCAGGGCCATAGTACTGAGGGTCTCACCAGACTCCATCCAACCAGTAATTCTGGTCATTATTGAGTTTTTGGATTTTGTTCCATGTTTTTCCTTCCACTCTATCCAGGATCTCCAGATTTGATTCTCTCCTGAGTAGTTGGCATTGGTCACTGGGCACCATCTAGTTCTTCTGGTCTTGAGAGCCATCACTTTCTAGGGCTGATTGCTTCCAAATGGCTTTTTTTTTTGTTTGTTTTTGCACTCTTCTTCGCTTTTGATGCTAGGAGACCAGTAGGTGCATCTTAGATGGCTGCTTGAACACTTTTAAGACCCCAGTCACTACAAGGTGAGAAAACTTATGCTATACATATTCTACCTAGCACCATAGCTGAGATGGCAAGGAAAATAATCTTCAGGGAAACTGATCAAGTTCTAAGTGATTAAAGACATCTCTTTAAGGCAGTATTATTATGATCCTAATTAAAAAGGATCCTAATTAGAAAAATTAATTTGTTGCTAGGTATGACAATATGGTGCTTTTATATTGGAAATAAGTAAACTACAAGTAGTTGGAAAGGTAATGAACACTGTCAAAATTTTCAAAATTTCTACTAACCTTGGAGCTAGTAGTGAAATATTTTCTTTACAAATAATGCATAAACTTTGGGAAAGAACCACTGGCATAAGGCACTTACCTCCAGCTCCTTAGAAGGAATTCCTTGATCTAGTAAACCCCGCAACATTCGGATGACTGACTTCAGCCTCGTGCCAGTGTATTTACCCGAGGGAAGTACTCTGATGATGGGGAGTGCAGCGAGCTCCTCGTTTGTCAGAAAGGGAGGATCTGTTAAGAAGAGAACAGTTGATTCCTTTTATAAAAATTTTCCCCAGAACTGATTTCATCAGAAGCAAACTAGTTTGGATCTGTTATCACCTCATTTATTTTTACAAAAGTGGGAGCCTATAAATATGAGAATAAGGCAATATAATTAGTAGGTAGGCAGGCAGCTAGAATTAACAAAAGAAAAGTTTTACTATAGCAAGGATCTTGCACTTAATTTTTAAGAAAATACTTCACTGACTGATCAGAAGTTCTAAAGGATTATTTACTTATGATTTCTAAAGGAGTTTAAATGGTTTCTTTTTGCTTCTCTTGCTGTAAATGGCATTAAGTTTATGATAAAAATATATCTAGTCTTATAGTATATAACAATATTAAAAGTAGCTTCTAAGCACATGGCAGAAAAAAATAGATTTTTTAGAAATCCTTACAACAGGAGATGGCTCTAGGAACACTGATCTTTCCTCTCACTACCCACCCTTGGCACCTGGTGCCAGTATCTCTGACATGGGAGCTCTGGTAGCATAGTGCCTAAGGCACTTGACTGCTAACCAAAAGGCTAACAGTTCAAACCCACCAGCCACTCCTCAGAAGGAAAATGGGGCAATCTACTTCTGTAATGATATTGCCTCAGAAACCCAAGGAGGGGTCACTATGAATTGGGTCCAACTCAACAGCACATAACAACAAACAAGTTACATGGAGACATGCAAGTGGAGAATTCCATTGTGTCCTTTATGGTTTGACAATAAGCAATGACTTCAGTGTCTTTAAAGAGAAATGGATTTAATTTAGTACCTGCTGTATGGAAACTTCTTATGACAAGTGACTGCTTATTATTCCAGAAAAACATAAGTGGAGAGACTTTTTGCTGTTATCTGTGCAAGTGTAAAGAAGTCCTGGTGGCACAGTGGTTAAGCATTCAGCTGCTAACTGAAAGGTCAGTGGTTCAAACCCAACAGCCACTACACACCAGGAAGAAATGTCAGTCTACATCTATAAAGATCACAGCCTTGGAAACCCTATGGGGCAGTTCTACTCTGTCCTATATAGGGTTGCTGCAAATTGGAATCAATGCAATAGCAATAGGTTTAGTTCAAGTGTGGCTTTAATTATGTCAATCAGTTGACTAACACATTTTTATGATGTACTTACTACGTAGACAACAACATGCAAGGCATTATAGGGGATATAAAGCTGTACAAGATCCCTCAAGAAGCTAACATCTGTGTAGTGTAGTAAATTACTTAATGTGGCTTTTCTACCCACAAGTCTTTGTAAACTCCAAGGTGGGATTTGCTATGAGCAACTGAGGAGCTCCTGATTGCTGAAGTGGTCCACCTGGAGTATTTCTGTTGGGAGTGGCACAAAACAATGTTCTGGGAGGTTCCCACTCTCTCTCAGGTGCTTAGAGTTCTGATGCTATTATTGGCTAGTTTGACCACCCTGCCGGGCTCAAAAGGAGTCCTCCTAGAGGCAGAACTCTCGCTGACTGCTGGTTGAGGAAGACGTGCTGCCGAAAGAGACATGCACTCCTGTAAGAGACATGTGCTGCTGGGAAAGAGACACGCATTGCTGAGTAAGACACTGAGGGACATGCACTGCTGGGGGAGAGACTGTGAGAGACTTGCCTGAGAGGTGGTGGGCTGGGAGAGAGACTGAGTGTTTTTCCTGAACTTGAATTGTAGCCTGGTGCTTCCCTAATAAACCCCGTAATCCGTGAGTTCTGTGTGGCCACTGCAGCGAATTATCGAACCCAGAGGAGAGGTGGTGGGTGCTTTGGGAGGAACGGTTGGTGAAAGGGCTGGAGGGAGGCAGCATGTCTGGCCTGGCAGGAATAGGCCTTGGGCTATTGATGGTGATTCTGTCTTCCTTTTGTGGGGTTAGAAGAGGTTGGAACATGTGGCCTCCTTGCCCTTTTTGCAATCTGGTTGGGAATACAAAATTCACTCATCTGAATTACATGTAAATGTTTATAGAATGGAGTCTGAGCACAGCTGAGATACAAGGACACCAGCAGTTCACACCTAAATCAAAAACTGTTAATTTATTTTTTAACAACTAAGACTTTAAATGGCAAAAAATTATGTTCTTCCATTGCATTAGTATAAAATTTCCTTATATGAAGTAAGAAAAATGAAACATGGATGGTAACTTAATTTTTCCACTGGTTTAGTTACAAAGTGAGAGAGGCAGTAACAGTGATGATAGACTTGGTTCCTGTTAAAAAATGAGGTTGAGATTCAAGGGTAACAATCCTTTACCTTTGAGCTATTCTACTTATTTTACTATACATAAAATTTGCTCCCTGACTTCTCATTCCACAGTGACAAAACTATGACTCTGTGTTTCCATTCAAATTATACATTTATTTGCATGTTTTCCTCCAAGTCACTGAGAATTTTAGGCTACAACTCTGCCAGTATATGATTATACAAATAAGCATCAATGTTCATCTATGACTTATTTAACTCTATGTATAGAACAAAAAAAAAAAATACACATTTGGTGAACTTATTTTTCCTATCCACTGGTTTTGATGAAAATGCTGGTAATAAAAATTCTTGCCTTTACTGGAATCTTCCTGATTTGTTGTCTCTATTGGCAATTCAATACTTCCCCATGTGATTTCATCATCACCAGTTTTCCTTTCCTGTGACTTCTTAATTACACTACAACAAGAAAATACATTTGTAATATTTTTTTTTTAGTTTTATCACAAAGGTGAATTTAAATACTATGGCCCTGAGCCACTTATTTTCTCTATAATTATGACAATATTTAAAACAGATTATCTGATTTAAAAAAAAACCAAATTCATAATTCTTAAAACTTATTGGTAGATGCAAATTGAACTAATCAGAATACTTTAATATAGTTTTAAATTTATCCCCAAACAGATTCCATGTCTTTGAACCTTACACTGAAGGAGTCCTCTTGAGGAAAGAGAGGGCTGGTGGTTTTGTTTGTACCTTTCAACATGCTGGCTGTTTAAAAATTGCATCAGTATATAGCTTGATCTTTTTTGATTCTTTTGAGCAGCTGCCTAATTTTGTATTAAAGAAGTTACCACTGATGGATGTCAGTCTTTTGCTAAAATTGAGGGTCAGAGGAACACTCTATTAGGGCACTCAAAATAACGAAACTCAATAGAAGTTCCCATTATTCTAGGGGTGCACAGCAGAGGCACATTTTTCTGTTAAAGTGAATGGCTTTCAAGATAACCTAGATAGAGGAATAGTGAGGAGTAGTGTTAATGTGAGATGAAGATGGATTACGTAAAAGTTTGAATACGTTTTTCATTTTCTGATATGCAGAGGGAAAAGTAGAGTACACTTGTCTGATAACATTAGTACATGACATTGAAGAGGGATATGTACTAATGCTCCCAAAATATCAGTAATAGTGCAGCAATCACGTTGCTTTTATGGTCAATGTTTTCCCATTTGAATTGATTATAGATCACAATTAACATTTAATTTGCAAGCCCTGCATCCATGAAATTGATTTTGTCTTCTAGTAAGTATACCTTGTCTGCAAGGATATGTTTTGGAGATTTTTCCATCTGGCTTCAATTCTTTCTCATTTTTCTTAGCAGCTACCTACTTTTTTATTGTATGAACATACCCTAATTTATTTTGTCTCCACTGTGGTCTTTTGCTACTATACATAAGGTTGCAATGAATATTCTAATAGAAATGTCTTTGCACACATGTGGGAGTGAGACCAATTCTTGTATATAAAATTGCTAGGTAAAAGGGTATATCTTTGAATCTAAGATCTCCATCATTATAATATACATTATTTTTATGTTAAGCAAGAAAATATATCAACAATTATAAGATCTTTCCCGGTTTCAGAAGCATTGAATATGAGAAAAAGCATCTAAGAATTAGTAATTTTCTTTTTTCAAATTGCCATCTGAAGAGATTACACTAATTTACTCTTCTTCCTTTTTCTCTCCCCAATGTATAAGAAGGACTTTTTACCGACATCTTCATTTTTGAATATTTGCCAATTTGTTAGGTATAAAACTGCATGTGCTTCTACATTAGTAACATGTACTGTCATGTCTAGCAAGGATTGTGAGGCTGGCACAGGACTGGGAAGTGTTTCATTCTATTGTACACAGGGTCACTATGAGTTGGAGCTGACTTGACAGCACCTAACAACAACAACTCACGTCTTACTTAATCAAACATTGACTGTCAATTTGCCTTTCTAGAAAAAGATCAATCACTCATTTTGAATCCGGTTATTGTTTAGACCTTTCTTCCATGCATTTTCCCA